TGCTGGGTAAACAGAGGCATCAAGGGGAAAGAAACTCTTGCCAATTGTTTTGCATGGGCTGGGAATTGTACCTAGGCCATTTGGACTACAATTTCCGAGCAGTATCCGCTCGGACCTGTGTGTGTGGGTGAGCAAGTGCGCGCGCGTGTGCGCAAGCTGTGGTCATGCCCCTGGGTTATTGTTGTTGTTATAGATTCAGCTACTGGGAACAAAAAGTTCCAAGTAGCACGGGCTATGGTGAGCCCGTAGTGGACTTACCTGGCACAGGAGCGGGGCTGTGTGTCCCTGGGTTGTTTGTGATGGGATACGGCCACTGGACACGTGCTGGTGATCTATGTGCGTGTCGTCCCGCTGCCTGGTAGACACGGTCTGCTTCACCTCCGTGGCCGCCCCCCTCCCTCGTTGTATCTGTCCGGTCGACGTTATTGTGTGTCCGTCTGTCGGCCCGTGTCAACCTTTCTCCGTGCCTTCGCGTGCTGTGGCGTTGGTGCACGAAATCTCGTTTCCGTGCAATCCTGCTTGGTCTGAAACTTGCGAAGCGACAACTTACAGGACCTGGCTCGGGTGTTTCGTCCGGGTCCACCCGTCAGAGTTGTCACATTTCAACAGGACCTGACTCGAACTTGTGTGTTGGTCTGGTAAGCGGCGCCACTAGCAGGCGACGCTGAAAAATAGCTTCCTATAATGAGGACTATAGGAGGGGGGGGAGGAGTCATCAGTCACACGCTGTAGGATTTCCTTGTCGAGTCTTCTCGCTGTTGTTACGTTGTTCACGCCACAGTCTTAATTGTGGTTTTTACACTGAAAATGGTTGCTGTAGCCGCCCTTGTTCCGGTTATAGCCCCTCGCTTCACTGGTTAGTTCCAAGCCTCGCTGCTCTTCACCAATACACACAATTTGCCTTGTGGTTGCGATTTTCTCAATGTTCCTCCTGCCTTAATTCATTCTGTTTATCTCTCTCTCTCTCTCTCTCTCTCTCTCTCTCTCTCTCTCTCTCTCTCTCTCTCTCTCTCTCTGTGCCTCTCTCTCTCTCTGTGTCTCTGTCTCTCTCTGTCTCTCTGTCTCTCTGTCTCTCTGTCTCTCTGTCTCTCTGTCTCTCTGTCTCTGTCTCTGTCTCTGTCTCTGTCTCTCTCTCTCTCTCTCTCTCTCTCTCTCTCTCTCTCTCTCTCTCTCTCTCTCTCTCTCTCTCTCTCTGTCTCTGTCTCTGTCTCTCTCTCTCTGTCTCTCTCTGTCTCTCTGTCTCTCTGTCTCTCTGTCTCTGTCTCTCTGTCTCTCTGTCTCTCTGTCTCTCTGTCTCTCTGTCTCTCTGTCTCTCTGTCTCTCTGTCTCTCTGTCTCTCTGTCTCTCTGTCTCTCTGTCTCTGTCTCTCTCTGTCTCTCTGTCTCTCTGTCTCTCTGTCTCTGTCTCTCTCTGTCTCTCTCTGTCTCTCTCTGTCTCTCTGTCTCTCTCTGTCTCTCTGTCTCTCTGTCTCTCTGTCTCTCTGTCTCTCTGTCTCTCTGTCTCTGTCTCTCTCTGTCTCTCTGTCTCTCTGTGTCTCTGTCTCTCTGTCTCTCTGTCTCTCTCTCTCTCTCTCTCTCTCTCGCCTTAGTGATAAAATTATATCCAAACCCACAGTTTTCTCTTTCCGATTCCTATACTTGCCTTCCCCTTAAGATGTAGATATCACCTAGTCTCTTTTCTTATCTTCGTTATCTTACACTTGAGATTTAATTATAGCAACCATTTGCTTGGTCAGGATTGGGAAAGGTCTTCCTGTAACTTCCTGCAGTCTTCGTCTGTTTTTACATTCTTCATGAGGTGTACATCCTCTGCAGACACTGACATGTACGAAGTCACTCCCTCGGGTAGGTCGTTGACTTAAATTGGGAACAACAGCGGTCCCAGGACTGAGCCTTGTGGGACTCATTTCATTCTTCGAGTTCGTAACCTCCTCGCTGACGGTGACTGTTTTCTGTCCTTCAGGTACTCCTTTTTCCTCTCTTCAATGTTTTGATAGTTACCCCGGCCTGCTTATCCGTCTTATCTGGTATTATTTGTTTCTTTCTCGTGTAGCCCCGTCATAGAGCTCAAGTTTGTCCCTACCTTTGTCCTTCCCGTCTCTCCCTCTATCCCCTGCCTCTCCCTCTATCCCCTGCCTCTCCCTCTATCCCCTGCCTCTCCCTCTTTCCCCTGCCTCTCCCTCTTTCCCCTGCCTCTCCCTCTTTCCCCTGCCTCTCCCTCTTTCCCCTGCCTCTCCCTCTTTCCCCTGCCTCTCCCTCTTTCCCCTGCCTCTCCCTCTTTCCCCTGCCTCTCCCTCTTTCCCCTGCCTCTCCCTCTTTCCCCTGCCTCTCCCTCTTTCCCCTGCCTCTCCCTCTTTCCCCTGCCTCTCCCTCTTTCCCCTGCCTCTCCCTCTTTCCCCTGCCTCTCCCTCTTTCCCCTGCCTCTCCCTCTTTCCCCTGCCTCTCCCTCTTTCCCCTGCCTCTCCCTCTTTCCCCTGCCTCTCCCTCTATCCCCTGCCTCTCCCTCTTTCCCCTGCCTCTTCCTCTTTCCTCTGCCTCTCCCTCTTTCCCCTGCCTCTTCCTCTTTCCTCTGCCTCTTCCTCTTTCCTCTGCCTCTCCCTCTTTCCCCTGCCTCTCCCTCTTTCCCCTGCCTCTCACCCCTCCCTGCCTCTCCCTCTTTCCCCTGCCTCTTCCTCTTTCCTCTGCCTCTCCCTCTTTCCCCTGCCTCTACCCCCTCCCTGCCTCTCCCTCCCTCCCCTGCCTCTCCCTCCCTCCCCTGCCTCTCCCTCCCTGCCTCCCCCCTCCCTGCCTCTCCCTCCCTCCCTGCCTCTCCCCACTCTGCGCTAATGTGGAAGTCGGCACTCTACCACTTGCATTAATTTCTGAGTGGTGTCCCGAAATGATTTACGTTGGTGAGATTGTTTGTGGCTGGTTAATGGAGAGGTGTAGGCGATGGTGAAGATGGTGGGGCGATGGTGAAGATGGTGAGTGGAGGGCGATGGTGAAGATGGTGAGTGGGGGGCGATGGTGAAGATGGTGAGGGGCGATGGTGAAGATGGTGAGTGGAGGGCGATGGTGAAGATGGTGAGGGGCGATGGTGAAGATGGTGAGGGGCGATGGTGAAGATGGTGGGGGGCGATGGTGAAGATGGTGAAGATGGTGAGGGGTGATGGTGAAGATGGTGAGGGGCGATGGTGAAGATGGTGAGTGGGGGGCGATGGTGAAGATGGTGAGTGGGGGGCGATGGTGAAGATGGTGAGTGGAGGGCGATGGTGAAGATGGTGAGTGGGGGGCGATGGTGAAGATGGTGAGGGGCGATGGTGAAGATGGTGAGTGGAGGGCGATGGTGAAGATGGTGAGTGGGGGGCGATGGTGAAGATGGTGAGGGGCGATGGTGAAGATGGTGAGGGGCGATGGTGAAGATGGTGGGGGGCGATGGTGAAGATGGTGAAGATGGTGAGGGGTGATGGTGAAGATGGTGAGGGGCGATGGTGAAGATGGTGAGTGGGGGGCGATGGTGAAGATGGTGAGTGGGGGGTGATGGTGAAGATGGTGAGTGGGGGGCGATGGTGAAGATGGTGAGGGGCGATGGTGAACATGGTGAGGGGCGATGGTGAAGATGGTGAGGGGCAATGGTGAAGATGGTGAGGGGCAATGGTGAAGATGGTGAGGGGCAATGGTGAAGATGGTGAGGGCAATGGTGAAGATGGTGAGGGGCAATGGTGAAGATGGTGAGGGGCAATGGTGAAGATGGTGAGGGGGGGGGGGGGTCCTTGGTTCCATTAATACGCAGGACAAATAACCGTTAATTATTTGTCCAAACAGCCAGCCATGCAGTCAACAATCAGTTCGTCTGCTTGTTAACTGCAGCTCTTACAAGTTTGATCAAGCACGACTAAACTGGCGACTTCTTTAGTAAAGACAGATATAAAAAAAAAGTCGTATATCTTTCTCAGTTACATGTTAAACGACCCAATTGCTCTCAATTAATGGCCCAACCTGCTCTCATTCCGGCACGTGTGAGAGAACTCTTGGGATTACAGCTGGGGACGAAGGTTAGGTTTGGAGTAATTTAGTACACCAGTTTAGTGACGTTGGGGACGCTGGAGAGGACGGGCTGTGGAGGAGCCACTGTGGCCACCTCGACATCTTCATCACACACGTGATGAAGATACGTGATGAATGTCTCGAGCCTCAAGCATCACACATCTGATGATTGAGGTTCCTTGTGGGTGTCTGAGATTTTATTTCTACTTGTTCACAGTAAACAAAACAACAACGAATCTATTACAAGCGGCTTTTGAAATTCAACTTTACTTTTTTCATAATGATTCTTTTCCATGCTGATACCATTTTTTCACTTTGCTAGTGATCTCAAAGTTACATTTAAATATATATTTGTCGAAAGAGACTGATAGATGGCGGGGTCTTCCTCGCGGGGCACTCTGTAGCTTACATACATCATCCTTATATTCCAGTGATGCCACCTCTGTGACGTGCACTAGTATTCACACCACTCGTGTTATTGATCAACATGGCGGTGGGACCCGATGGGGCCGAGGGTTGGGGGGATGTCTCGCCCTTCTAATACGATAGTACGAGCTTCAGAGAGGTGGGTCTGGAGGGAACGAATGTCTAGGTTCCGTAACACTGAGTTTTGGGGTGCGGGAAGGTGGGACTCGTTGGTGTCTTGGGGTCCTAAACACAGCAGTACGAGCTTCGTGTGGTAGGGAGGGAAGATACTCGTAAATCGGTCTTTAGAAAAGGGGGGAAGTTGTGTCTTTGGTCCGTCTGGGACAATAGTGGCTCCAGCCGTTTTCTTTTGATGCAAAATTTGTGCTTTGGAATTAAATTGCATTCGTGTATGAGAATGTGTTGATATGTTTAAGAGTTTCCTGGGGTTGGTGCATTAAGTTGACGTGTTAAGAACTTGTACTGCTTCATTATTTTGTTCATTTGGTGCTTTTGCAATAAATAAAATAATGCTTTGTCCATATTAAATTGTGGTGTATTCCCTTTCAGACAACAGGACACTTTGTGACATCTTGATACCTCATGTCCCAGGACCTTTTAGTGATAAAACCAAAATACTGTAGTGCAAAATGTCTAACTGTACATGTGGGAGTCGTTGACTCTACTGCAGGAAGTGTACAAAGATTGTACTCTTAAAAGTGATCATGTCTTGAAAAGCGCGAGTGTTGAGGCCCTGACTACGGTGGTGAGCGCGAGGATGTTAGAGGGGGTCGGGATGCCTCTAGTGTACAGTACAGGCGGGGCAGCTGGTCGCGAGCAGAGACGTCCCATGTGGACACAGCATGAAAAGGCGGTGCTACGGCTTCTCATGCGGCAGTACGCTGGCGTTACCGAGTTCGACCCCCCAGACGTCCACAAACACCCCATCAGAAATGAGATGTGGCGACTTCTGACAGCTAGGTACAATGCTCATCCACACGTCAGGTCCCGCGACACAAAACAGCTGAGGAAAGCTTGGGAGAACTTGAAGTACCGCGCCCGCAAGTTGGGCTCAGAGAACCAGAGAAGCTCAAGGCAGCAGAATAATAGTACCGAATCAAGTTGGCCACTAGATGGGGTGACGCTTCCCGGGCCTCCCTCTCCCCCTCGCAACACAACACCCATGGCTAGGGAGGCCGGGGAGGTGGGCGACTGGCGGGAATCTGAGGAAGAATCACACAGAAATCTTGATGACATGGATGAAGTTGAGAAGAACGTTAAGAATGAGGTCGACGACGATGCTCTACAGTCTCAGGAAAGTCTGGATCACACTTCCCATCTCTCTGATAGGGGACCAGCCGTGCTAAGCCTTCACCCACTAGTATCGTCCCTGTTAAGTGGGGGTTTAGGGTCATTAACTACTACTCTGCCATTTTTAGCATCCCCTCCAGGTTCTCAGCTGGCAACTGGACTCCTTCTTCCACACGCCGTGTCAGCGTTTTCGACGGCCGACTCCGAGCTTTGTCAAACGATTCTGAGGTCTTCCATGGATCCTGCTTCCATTATTTCCACCTCACCAACGACAGCTACCTCCGCCCTGACCACCACCGCCACTACCTCAGGCACATGCATCTCTACCTCAGGGGCGTCCGTCGCTATGAATGGTGTATCTCAGGAAATATTTAACCCATCCCCAAACAGCACATCCACTTCCTCGATCGCCGCAGACAAGAACATAAGATCAGACTCGCCGATGGAGCCACAGCTAGCGCAAGATCGCCTGCATCAGCGTCTAGCCGGAATCGAAACTTCTATTCGACACACAGAGGAGCAGCACCAGGCTCAGCTGCAGCTGCTGAGGCTACAGATGGCGCAGTCAGTGGCGGAGCATGAGGCCAAAATGAGAGTTCTTGGGGCGCAGTTGGAGTACTGGCAGAGACGTCTTCGTGTGCAGCACCGCGTCTCCAACACGCTCTCAGTTATCACCCAGAACGATCCTGACTTCGAAGATGAGCCACCAGCTTGACCTTATGCTGCTTTCTCTAGTGAATGTCCTCGAGAATAGCAGAAAAATCTTCAGTGCTGGTAGAGAGCTAGAGAGGTTGTGAATAGCTATCGCGATTGACAACAAAAAAGTAGTAGTTCTGGTAGGAATACGCATGGATCTTCTCCAATCTTTGATCAGACTGGAAATCACGCGCTAGTTTGGTTTATAATAATCATTCCAGAAGTTGATCGTGTCAGTAGTGAAGCGTCACTTCAATCTTTAAGTTAGCACCACGAATACGGATCATAGGACGTTCAGGCTAAGGAGACAAGTATTACAAAAAATAGTCATTATTAATTTACCTCAAGAATGGTGTGTATGTATGTTACTTTGTGTGAGACATAATGAATGTTGTATCAGCAGCCTGGCGGATGTGAGAGCAGGCAGGAGTGTGGGTTGTGTATGCTAGGCTCGGCCGGGTGGTCAATACCCCGCCACTGCTACAATTATATTTTGATGCACTCACTCAGCTGAGCAACTCGGCTCCGCAACTCAGCTTTAACACATCAGCCAACTGGTACTGAAGGGCTCTCACAGCAGAGTTTTGGAAGCCGGAGGATGTATTGTGTTGACACTGGAATGTGCTGTACCTCTCCCTGACTTTCCACATATGCGCGCGCGCGCACTCACACTCACACTTGACAGACATACCTACAAACTGTATATACTCCGTATACCTGATTGTATTTACACAGAAGTTATATTTTTAGTAAAAATCGTGTGGAATATCGCCAATAAATATGATAAAAGCTTAAAGACATTTTGATTACCCCGATGTACGGTGAAAGAAAGTTCCATATTAGAGAGCTTAGTCAGAGAGGAACCATTAGACGGTGTAAGATGTAATTACCTAAGTGTAATTACCTAAGTGTAGTTACAGGATGAGAGCTACGCTCGTGGTGTCCCGTCTCCCCACCACTCTTTGTCATATAACACTTTGAAATTACTTTGAAAATGTGTAGTCCTTCATACGTTTCCCTTTGCAATATCTTACTTTGGGAACCTTTGTACCTTCCGTGGGGTTTCTAATGTAGATAGTACGTGAAGAATTAATATATTATAGACAATCAGTTACAATAACGGGGCTAAAACTTAGACACTCAACCCACTCGTTTGAAAATAAAGGAATTGACTTTTCGGTCAGTTCTGGACCAAAGTCAGTTCTGGACCATTATCATATCAATACTTGATAATGGTCCAGGACGGACCGAAACGTCGTCGGTCTTTTATTTTTAGATTTGTGGGTTTGTGTGTCTAGTTATTCCAGTTCAGTTTTGAAGATTGAAGGTTCACTACTATACAGTAAAATTAATATAGCGAGAAACTTATTACAATGTCGTAGTGCTTCAATGAAGATGAAGAAGCGACCCAATAAATGTGTAAGTGTATTCAGAAACAAATTTCCGGATGTAACCTACATCCTTTCTCAAGGTGTTGTATGTAGTGTTCCTTGTATTGTATTAGGAACATTGTATGCTCACGTTGCTGCACATTGTATACAGTACCTTGAAAAAGTTCGCAGGTTACATCTGAAAATTAGGTTTTTAATACACTTCAGCATATATTGGGTCTCTCCTTCACCTTCAATAATATAGCTTTACATTACCCTTAGCCCCCATAGCTGCTCCCTCGAAAGACAAATTTGAAGATGTTTGTTTAATTAGCCTTAAGCTTTAATTAGTATAGTTATTTCAGCATCCTAAAGGGGAATGTGTGTTTTATTACTCAATTATTCTGATGCCAACTGAGACGGGGGATTACAGGTAAGAAATTGTTGCTTTTGTTGATCTAGGTCATCTGTTTATCGGCAGCCTATCACCATTGTTTCCAAGTGTAGTGTGGTGTGGTGAAACGTATAATGGTTGCATGCACTCAGAACACATTTCAAAATGTCATCTGCAAGTCAGTCAGTACCACTTAATAGAACTTTTTAAGTTTAATTTAGTCGTCGTCTTTTAGGGAGATGTCATCTTTTAGACGAAATGATGATGACAGAGTGAAGTCTCTCCAATTCTTGATGGAAGTGTTGGTAACTGTATGTGTGGGTTGAGGGACACTTGAGGTTGAGAGCTGGTTGGGACCCGCCCCGATCCAGTCATTTCCAGCAATCCAGTTCAGTATGCGAGGGTGCCATCCCATCCAACATAAATTACAGTTTCTAAAGCGGCTGTGAATAGAATGTACTAACAGCGTGTGGTAAGGTTGATTTTGTAGAGAGCACAAAACTACATGGCTTAGGAAGGGGATTAATTTGATAAAATCCCTCATACAGTTTAAACGTCATATTGTATATAGTGTACTCATCAACTTTGAGTATCTCTACGTCCGTTGCATAAGTTACCACCATTCTCAGATACATGTTTTCGGTGCATTTTTTTTTAGTATCGAATGCTTGATTTAGTTAAGTCTGTACGCTACTTTTGCTTCCGTGTAGCTTTGGCCAAACTACATTAGTTGCAGTTAAATGAAGTTGCATGCTATATTTAGAAGAGGATAAAACTTTATATTTGTTTCTGTACTGTAAGCTTTCATTGACTGCTGCTTGTGTGGAGGCACCTGCTGGGCACTTTGTATACAGTAACCCGACATGAATTATACATTAGCGGAAATGCAGCAGTCCCCCCTTACAGTTTATTGTTATAAACCATATGAAGATGCTAAGCTTGTTAACAAGTACGATGTTGAATATTAGTGGCCCCGGGGGTTAGTTTTGCAATACGTGAAACCTATGTAGGCGATGAGTCACAATAACGTGGCTGAAGCATGTTGACCAGACCACATACTCGAAGGTGAAGGGACGACAACGTTTCGGTCTGTTATGGACCGGACTTGAGAATGGTCCAGGACGGACCGATATGTCGTCGTCCCTTCACCTTCTAGTGTGTGGTCTGGTCAACCTACTTCAACCACGTTATTGTGACTCGTCGCCTGCTTAAGTTCCCGAATATGTGTAATGTAGAGTGTGTGTGGTGCTGATGTTATCCTATTCACGTGGGCTTCCGAAGCTAAGCTTGGTGTTATATCCAATCTAATGTCTTTTTCCTTCAGTTGCAGACACGTAGTTTCCCTTCACTGTGTGTCGGGCCGCTGATCTATCACACACCTGACCTTTTTCATCACCTGGTACTTGCCGGTGCTGAATTCCAGTACCCATTTCTCGTACCAACTCTGCAGTTTGGTTTAAATTCTTGGTGTATCTTACAATCCTCATTTGTCTCTACTCATGAATTTTGCATAGTCTGCGAACGCATTGACATTGCAGGTCATAACGACTGTAGATATGTCATTAACATAAATGAAGAATATTATGGGTCCCAACGCCGATCCTTGAGGTAGTCCATTTGTTACTCTTACGTCATGACTCTGACTCCAGTCTGTTAGGTATTCTCTTACTCATGTCAGTATTCAAAAACTCGTTCCCACCTGCCTCTCAAGTTTGCGTACGTCTTGTGAGGCACTGTACTGTACTGTACTGTACTGTGTCAAAGGCTTTTTGGCAGTCTAGAAATACACAATCTACCCGACTCCTCCTCTTTGCCTTCTCTTATTTTCGTCACTTTATCACAAGACTCCAATTGGTTCGTTAAAAATGATTTCCATTCACTATAGATATGTTTGTGTTTAGCTTACATATCTAATTCGCTCTAGGTGTTTAACTAATTTTATCCTTGTTATTATTTCAAGTACTCTGTTGGCAGGCGACGCTGGTCTGTAATCAAGTGCATGAATGTGTGTGTGTACTCATCTAGTTCTGCTTGCAGGGGTTGAGTTCTGGCTCTTTGATCCCGCCTCTTAACTGTCAATCAACTGGTGTACAGATTCCTGAGCCTACTGGGCTCTAACTGTGTGTGTGTGTGTGTGTGTGTGTGTGTGTGTGTGTGTGTGTGTGTGTGTGTGTGTGTGTGTGTGTATGCATTCATATGTTGTGTTCTAGTGTACGTATCGGTAAATACACTCATGTCCATCAAATACCATTTTAGCACAAGACTTAGCAGTAATATAAGTAGAAATACGATTATAATTGCATGCGAGGCTAGCTAGCTCGCCTGGCGATTTTGTAGACCACCCTCAAAAAAATATATACATGTCCATGCACACTTGTCTTATACCAGCTATTTTCTTCCAGTGTTATGCGGGAATCGAGTGAGCCAGATGACCAAGACTTACAATGATATCGACGCCGTGACCAGACTTCTTCAGGAGGTCAGTACCCGGAAACCCTTTTGTATTTTGTCTGGGAGATTTGTGGCAAGTATTATGTTTGCTTTTGGAGCCCCGGGAGCTAAACCTACCATTGATTTCTTTAGTTCCTCGAGTTCTGAGTCACGTCCTACAGGAGCTTAGGTAATTGTCTTTAGTTCTGGGTGAGAAGGGAGACGGAATGAAAGAGAGAGGGAGAGGGGAGGTAGGGTAGAGAGAGAGAGGGAGGGGATAGAGAGGGGGAGGGGGGGAGGGAGAGAGGGGGGGCGGAGGGAGAGAGAGGGGGACGGAGGGAGAGAGAGGGGGACGGAGGGAGAGGGAGGGGGGACGGAGGGAGAGGGAGGGGGGACGGAGGGAGAGGGAGGGGGGACGGAGGGAGAGGGAGGGGGGACGGAGGGAGAGGGAGGGGGGACGGAGGGAGAGAGATGGTGGGGACGGAGGGGGGGGGAGAGGGAGAGAGGGAGGGGGGTGTGAGAGAGAGAGGGGGGGACGGAGGAAGAGAGAGAGAGAAAGGGAGGAAGAGAGAGAGGGAGAGAGAGAAAGGGAGGGAAAAAGAGAGAGAGAAAGGGAGGGAAGGAAGGCTGAAATGAACGAAGGAAGGAGGGTAGGATGGAAGTAGGGAGCAAGGAAAGAAAGTTAGGGTGGATGTAGGGAGCAAGGAAAGAAAGTTAGGATGGATGTAGGCAGGCAAGCAAGGAAAGGAAGTTTAAGAGATTCAGAGATGGAGGAGAAAGGATGGATGGGGGAGAAAACCTTGCCCTGTGTGAGTGGAGAGTTAAACGTGTAGGCAGTGAAACTTTAAGGTTATTATTTATTTATCTTTTGGAATTCATACCAGTACCAGTAATAACTGCCTTCATTCTCGAATGTTCACTATATGCCATTTATAATTTCAGAGTTGTTATAATTGTGGAAATAGACTATAACTTGATATCATGGTTTTTCCCTCCACACAATGAAAACTGAGGAAAGAGAGTCAATCTCTGAATTTATCCATTAAAATATACTTTAATATACTGTAAGGTCCTTCAAGACCACATTACTCTTGTCAAATGCTTGTGTTTACTTGGATCTTCTAGTACAGTTGGCCTCATTTTTCGACTCAGAATTAATTTGGAATCTCTGGTTTAATTTCCTGGCTGGGAAGAAATGAATGAGTACATTTCCTGTCACCTAATGCTTTTGTTCACCTACCTTCACCTAGCAGTAAATTGGTTCCTCAGAGTTTGGCAACTGATTTGTTGGTTTGTATCCTGGAGAGGGTCAGCACCCAGTCAAACAAATTGCATTATTAATGGTAATTTAAGGACTGTATATGAAATAAGTGTTATTTATAAAATCTATTTTATTTTTTCAGAAAGAGAAAGATCTTGAACTTGCTGCAAAAATTGGACAACAACTTTTAGAACGCAACAAAACCTTAGATGAACGCAATGCCATACTTGATGCAGAGCTGTCCCATGCTAGCGACAAAATTACTCAACTTAAGCATGATCTGCAGATGAAAACAGACCTGCTGCAGATTTACACCAATGATGTGGACGACACAAGCAGCTGTGATAGTATGTCATAAATTGTCTATTGCATGCTGTATTAAGTTATTGCTAACAGACTTTATATAGCTTATTTTTGTATATGTCAAGTAGTGTAATTGGGGACAAATTAGATTACAAAAAATATTTATTGATTAAATTGTGTGTTCAATTTCTGTTTAGTGTTAAGTAAAGTATTCAGGAGATATTTTTCAAGTTATTAAAATATGCCAAGTAAATGTTCTATGAAAATTAGCCCCATTTAAATTTTGTATTTTATTTTATTGTGATAATTGCTGTATTTTCACCACTTTAGTTATACTAATTGAACATTCCTCTTCACAGCTACTCCAACAGGGCTGCGTTTGATCAATGTTGACATCCTACAACACAGAGTGAGAAACTTAGAAGATGAAAACAGAAGCCTACGTCAGGAGGCCTCCCAACTGGCCAATGACACCATCGAGTGTGAGGATAAAGAGAAAGAGCTGGTCTCGGATGTCATCAAACAAATTAGTAAGTTTCCTTGACAAAAAAAATGCAATTGCGAGAACTGCAGCCCCTACAAAACCTTGTATTAGGGCTGCAAAAACTGTAGGGGACAGTCTTTCCATCAAAAGTTTGATCAGTGATATTTGCACATCTGTCCCAGGACGTATTGTAGTTAGAGTTGTATTCAATACAAAATATTATATATTCTTTGTTTATAACTGTCATTTAATTGCCAAGATTTTCCTGATAAACCTCTTTGCCTTATTATTTTATTACAATATGTGATAAAAAAATTGCAAAATTCTACAGAAATGCTAGTACAGTATTTCATGTGTTCTTAATACAGGTATTTTAATCATTAATAGGTGATGCAAATATTCAAGTCGGCCAACTTAGTGAAGAACTTGCAAAGAAAGTGGAGGACTCCTTGCGGCAGCAGGAGGAGATTACACAGCTCCTTGCCCAAGTGGTGGACCTCCAAGCTCGTAACAAACGACTGGTTGTGGAGAATGATGAATTGGCCAACATGGTGGGGGTGGCACGAGATTGCCAACAAGAGCTTACCATGGAACTGGCTGAACTAAAAGAAAAGTATGCAGAGGTACTCGATCTACTACATGATACACAAGATCAACTCAGAAGGGTACAAAAGAAGGTGAGAATTTTCTGGTTCTTTTTCTGGAATATTATTTCTCTATAAACATATATTTAATAATTGAGTATTTTGTGGGTTTAGGCCCTTTTAATGCAATTACTTCTTTGATACATCTCATTCATTAAAGCCTCTCATAACGTTTATACCAACGATAATGATACAAAGAGTTTCTAAAATAATTACATGAATATAAAGAAAGCTCATCGTGGTCCAAATACTGTACAAGCAATAACATTACAGTATATACAAAATGCAATAAATTATAGAAAGGTGATGATAATAAATATTAAATGCAAAGAAACTTATAGTAGAGCAAATGGGGATGACTAACAGAATGCATAAAAGGATTTTGGTCTTAGTATAAATGACATTTATTCAACTACACAATTTATAAAGATAAAAGTACTGTATGCATTGAGATGCTGAAAAGTTGAATATCGGTTTTATTATTGAAATTAAGGTTAAATGAAGATGCATTACATTAATGTTTAATTCATTCACTGAATGATTAGCTTTTAGTTGTACAGTCTTTGCCAATAAGATAATAACAGATTATTATTGCTGTATTGTACTAATGTAGTTGCCAATGGTTATGCTCTGCTTAAAATAAGTGAATTAAAATCATAATTATATTACAGTATATATTTTTTAATGACTATATAGTATTACATTAAATAGTTTTTATGAAAATTAATGTTATTAAAACAAAGGAATGTATTTGAAAAGAGTTAGAGAGAAGAACCCTTAACAATTATTGCTTGTACTGCCGATAATATAGGTGAAGGGTACTTTTCTAGGTTGCTGATGCATGATAATTGCAAAATATTGCTTTGTATTCTTACCTAAGTTTACCTGAGGGCCACTATCTAGTGGTCTCAATGAAGACAGGAAGCTGGTGGATTGTCAAAGCCACCAGCTACCACTTCAGTTACCTCCATTTGTCCTAATGATTTTATCGAGCTAGATTTTAAAATTCGGAAGTGTTTTAGCATTTACAGCTTTGGCAGGCTTATATAGTGGGTTTCATGGGGTTAAGTCATGATAGGGGAAAAAGAATCTTCTGTTTTCTGTCCTACATTGTGGCTTTCTGAGCTCGAAACCATTGCTTCTGGCTTGTTTTGCCTCTGACCTTTTGACAAAATTGTCTGGATCAGTATCCTGCAAATTGTTGAGTATTTTAACAGTTTAAAATGATATATAATGTACTATGCATGAAATGATCTATGATGCTGATCCCGCTTTCAACGCTTTCAACATCACTTTTGATGGACCTAAAGAGCTGAAAGTGTTTTGGGATTAGATGCTTTTTGTTGTGGTTTTCGGCATAGTGTACTGTTTGCTAGTTTTGGGGCATGCACTCAAGAAACTATTTCATAGGTATCAATCAACCTTTAAATTTGTTGGCTAGACATCCTCCACTTACAGGACACCTAGTCGTCCGACATCATGGGCATGGAGCTAGTGCACCCCTCAGTGCAGCTACCGTGTTGGTTAAATCCAGGTCCTTCATCTGTGGATATATGACATTTGTCAGTACTGGACTTTGGTTTTAGGCAGATATGCCACCTTTTCTGGCTCCCTCTCGGAATGCAGCTGGTTTACAGGACTGGGCTTCATAACACAGGCTTTTGCAGCACTTGTTTATGGCAAGTGGTGTGGATAATGACTTCGAATTGTTTTATGAAGCTTGTGTGCATATGCCTTTCGATGCTTTTGCCATGTATCGGCCAACTTCCTCTGCTACTTGTGCCTTGGGCTGGCAACTGGCCAGCCTCAGTTTACTCAATGTTTAGACCTCCTTCAGCCATTGGCACCAGCCCTTTCTTGTTAATTAAGGTTAACTATTTGTTCATTTGTCTATTAGTGGCCCAACTGTTTTTAGTGAAGCATTCACTTTCCACGTACCTCGGACCTGTTTGTGTTAATGTTGCTCATCTTCCTGCTTTATCTGTGACTTGCAGTTGCATTTCTTTGCTGGCTGAGCATTAAATTTGTTTGTTTAGATTTAATGATTTTTTCTTAATAATTTAGTGCATTTAAAACTTCTGCCTTTATAAATTTTTGAATAATACATTACCTACATTGTTGCATTGGAAGAAGGTATTGCATAGTGCAACAAACCAGTTTCTATATGACAGGATTTTCACTTACATTTAGACGTTTATTTCTTTATTATTAGATAAAATATGAAGTACAAAACAGAATGCAAGTACTGTACTGTACTGTACAACATGGAAAAGCAATTTGCAATAAATTGTGGCTTCTATTCCTCAGAACCTGCCAGGAAGCCGTGGTCACCACTTCAGCAGCAGTCTTTTTAGTTCTCCATTTAACTCCGGAAATGATTCCATCGCCAGTGAACTTCACTCCCTTAACTCTGTGTGTGAAGAAGTGGGAAAAGGCAGCAGGTGGGTGGCAGTTATTTGTTTTGTCTTCAAGTTATCTACTTTCAAGTGCATTCCTTGTATTTCGTCTATAGTTTTGGAGGTATTATTTTGATCCATTTCATATGCAATTGGCTGACTATGATTATTTAACAATTATACTATTTAATTTATGTTCACATGGTGGTATGATTAGTAATGCATGTGAGAATGCAGTTTGCATCGAATGAGGCACTATTAATGAATACTTAAAATAACAATAGTATTTATGCCTTAGTTCACAAATATTAGTTTTATATTTATCTCTGTTTTGCTCTACAAGAGGCACCTGACTTGGAAACATCAAACTCTCGAATGACTTTCAAATATGTATTTTAGCTATTTCCTCCACTTTACAGACCAATTACAAAAGTTCTTATATTATAAACAGTGCTATAAATTCATACTTCAATAGTTTATCAAGAAAATGTTGTCCCATAATGGCTAGTAAGAGGAAGAATTGTTCAGTGATGTGCCAGTGCATCATCATCTTTACCTGGGAGAGAGTCTTGCAGTCCCTTGAAGCTATTATCTTCTAAGACGGTACTATCTACTAGGTGCCATCAGTTGTGGAGTTCTCTGGCCTACCTGGGACCCAGAGCCAGAACCTGGTCCCATCATAAAAGTGCAAGGAGCTGTGGCAGTTTTATATCTAGTATTCATTTATGCCACCACTGTGAAAGACACCCAAAAAGTTAGCAAGACAAAACAAACACAGCTGGCTGCCTCTGAGACTTGCAGACTCAAAAATGGCTATAGAACTTCCCAAGCTATGTAAACAAATGATTGTAAATGTTATAAAACTAGCCTTTGTCGTGGAGCACCAGGCTTACTGCTTCTGGGTCCTCCCGTTTGGCCTCAATTTGGCTCCGCACATTTTCACGAGCCTGGCTCAGGTCGTGATGACCTGTCTTCTTCTCTTAAGAGTTCACGTTTTGACCCAAACTTCTCCTCCACTCTTCACTTTTAGAGTTGTTGATAGGGGGTGTATTACCATCTTTATGATGATCAGGTGGCTTTGTTGATGGTGTACCACCATAGGGTTTTCTCAGGGTGGCAGTATGAGGTTTTATTGCAGGCATTTCGTCACTGTCTTTTAGGATCTGTTCATCTGTTTCCGAATGGGTGGTTCTTTACTTTTTTCCTGGTTGTCTGTTGATAAGCATTTTATGCCAAATATTCTCACCTTGTATCATGTGGTGTGGGAAGAGCCACTGCAGCTTATGATCAGGGTTGATACTTCCTTTTATTTTGTGTTGTAGGCTGTCTCGTACATTTTCACCTTTGGCCTGCTCGTGCACTGCCTGGGCCTGCTTGGTATCTGGACTGGGTGCTTTATTTTCTGTCTTTTTGCTCAGTTTACTGTGTCCTTTTTGGTCTGGGATTGTTTTGTCGAGGCTTTTTTTTTTGGTTTCTCTGGCTTCCACTTGCCAAATTGGTGTGCAGTATTTCGGCACCAGGGTTTTACTTTCTTCAGTCCTGGTGGTTGGTTTGTTTGTTTCTAGCTGGTTCCTTCTTTTCTGACCAAGAAGGTATTTGTTTCCATAGGGGTCCATTGGTGATTGATGCTTGGTTGGTTGGGCTGGGGGTGCATCACATTTTGTGTCTGGTGGGGCACTCCTTTGCTGCCATCATGCCACCACATCTGTTGGTGGACGCCTTGTTTGTTGATTCTGTTTTTGTGGTCACCTGTTCCAAGGCTCGTCTTTCTTTGGTCATCCACAGTGTCACTGTCAAGCCAGACTGCGATCTACACTTGTGCCCATGATATCAGGAAGTATGTCACTCTTTCGTCTGTTTTTTCTAATATATCCTGGGCTGATATTACGGTGCAGGGATTCTGGATACTGAACAAGTTTTTGGCTGCCTAGTATTTGGTCAATATTCCCAGGCGTGTGCACTCTTGTGTGGCCTTGAGTTGGCTTTCTCGACCGACAATCTCTTCTTCATTGTGAAATACAGTACTATACTGTGGTGATCTCTCCTCCCTGATGTTTCTTCCTTCTCCATGGACGGTTCGCTTCAGGGAGCCACTTGGGGGCTCCCTCATAGAAAACCAGTGTTGAATGTAATGAAACACCAATTTATGGGTGATTCCCAGTGCCTTTGTGATGCCCCTCCCTTTCCTAGGGTGTTGGGTTTGCTACACGATTCATTGAACTGATGGTGGAGTGGCCTGTGAGCCATGGCCTGTCCGCTCCTCCCCAAATGAGGGAGAGGGTGGGGCGGGCAAGTGGGTACTTGTTTTATAACATTTCTGATCATTTATTTATATAGTTTGGATGGTTCTATGGCCATTTAAGAAACTGCAGGTCTCGGATGCAGCCAGTCTTGCTGACTTTCTGGGTACCTTCATCAGTGGTGGCGTAAATTAATAACTAATACATAAATACTATGGTTCCCAGTGTCGCTGTGAGGGACCAGGTTCTGGCTCTGGGTCCCCAGTAGGCCAGATAACTCTTATGACTGATGGCACCTAGTAGATAACACTTACATTAGAGATGATAGCTTCAGGGAGCCACGGGAGCTCACCCAGAAATTTGCATTTCATTACATTTAACACTGGTTTTATCACCTTTTTCTTTAGCAATTATAACTCTTTGCTCATCAAATATCAAAACACACAAGCTGGGTAATTCTATCATTAAGGGTAAATGCTTGTAGTGTTAAGAAACAGTGCTTCTAGTATTATTTCCCCCAACTGGGTGGGACAGAAAAGGTTGGATGCATTTCCAATTGCCTGATACCCCTGTTTACCTAGCAGTAAGTAGGTACTCAGGACTTAATCGGTTTGTTGTGTGGGGCTGCATCCTGGGTGGGGTCAGTAATTTGACCTGGGGGAGGGGGCCCCTTGATATAAGCCTAACGTATATGAATACACTCTGGCTGCCTGTCCCCCGACATTGAATTATTATTATTATTATTAAAAATGGGATTTTATATATATATATATATTGGTCTTTGGTGGTCTAGAAATGCATCCACCATGTATTGCATTACACCCTATGGGAAATAGATTTCCATTTTACGAATAGCTGAATTACGAATGCCCATTTAGCATGCATCACGGTCATAAGTTGGGAACTGCTTGTATCTAATAAAAAAAGTTATGTATACTGTGTGTGTGTGTGTGTGTGTGTGTGTGTGTGTGTGTGTGTGTGTGTGTGTGTGTGTGTGTGTGTGAGACAGACCCAGCTCCACCTGGGTCTCTTTCCCCCTTTTTCTACCCATTCCACCTTTTCCCCACTCTTAACTCGATCTCCCCTTAACCCCCCTCAACCCCATCTCCTTGGTACCCTCTTCTGCCTCTCTTACACAGAAGTATAGATACAGTTTATGTAAAACTGTACCTTGTATATATAACATTTTGTGGGCACTCCTTTGTTTAATACAAAGCTGCACCTTATATCTATCATTGATCTTTTTTACATTGCAACATAATATTTGCATGAATGATAGAAAAACTTTGCTCTTATCATTGGACAACATTGCAAATATGAAAGCCTACCGTTACAAATTATAGGAATCTGTATCCTGTAGATGTTAGAATTAACTTTTGAACTGATAATATATTAATGATTTAAGTTCAAAGAGATACCTAATGGCAATATTGGTTGGAGTTTTTATATATAGTAAAACATATAACAGTTTTTAAACTTTGGCTTATTGAAATATGTGCATGCTTAAAACAATCACTGTACTGTATAGGGAAATATATAAAGATTTACATTAATCAAAAAATATTAGTACAGAATTTCATAATTACTGTATTTAAATGTTTAAATTGTACAAATTTGGTTAAAATGCTATTACTATTGTGTAAATGAGGCTTGTTAAAACTCATCATTGGTTATATGATGTCGATGACAGCAACATCTGTACTTCAACAGCAAGCTTGGAACTCTCCCGATGTGTGGCTTAAGCCAGTCAGCACTGTACCAATACAGGTACTCAACCTGAGGAAGAGCTCACTGCTTGCACCCACAGATTTATAGTGTTCCTAAAATTTAACACAAAATCATTCTACCCATAATTAATCTCTAATATGTTTATATTTAGTATAATATCAGCTGGTTAGAGAAGAGATTTGTAATACATTTATTATATTTTGTCTTGGATTTTAGTAACATCTGTAGTATTTGTCAGTCATAGAATGCTAAGTTCTTCCCTTTTCACAATACAGTTCTAGCTTTGTGGCTTTAGGTAAAACCCTAGAATAAACATAAAACCTAACTCTGTGGGTGCAAGGAAGGAAGGCTTAATTTCAAGTAAATTCAAGACACTTTAGTGAAGTTTGTTTTATCCGTATTGTTTTATTGTAAGCATGGTACTGCATTTAATCTGAGGATAAGGGCTTCATTCTAGAGACACTCCTGTTGCATAGTTTTAATGTCTTACTGCACTACTATCACTCACAGATTTATTCGAACTAAACGAAGCTGCCAAAGACATGTTAGAAAATTCACTTGCGCAAACAGAATTGTAGACGGTTGGAACAAGTTAAGGGAGAAAGTGGTTAAAGTCAAAATCATCAGTAATTTAAAACCGTTATGACAGATTGCGGGGGAAGACTGGACACCACGAGCGTAGTTATCATCCTGTAACTACACTTGGGTCATTACACTTAAGCAATTACACACACACACACACACACACACACACACACCCCCACACACGCACACACACTAAGGAAACAAAACTGCCAAAAAACATTAGAAAGTTCACTTTTGCAAAGAAAGAGGTTGACAGTTGGAACAAGTTTAGTGAGAAGGTGATGGAGGACAGAACAGTCAGTAGTTTCAAAGCATCAGATGACAGAGAACACTGGGAAGATGAGACACACAAGCATAGCTCTCATCATATAATTACACTTGGGTTATTTCACACACACATACACTGGCTTGATTCAAAATAAGACTTGGTCATTTATTGATGAAGTGTGAGGCATAGTTTTATACTAGTATACATATACTATGCTGTTAATG